CTAAAAAATCTGATAGTGGATCTTCAAGCTTATTTTCCTTATATAGCAAGATAGAGAAAAGTCATAAGGAAAATAAATTTAGACTGTAAAATTCAAACTAGGCATATGTTAATTTCAATACTACTTTTTCCATTTCTTTCTCATGAACACCAACAAGGACTCCTCTCAAAAGCTTAAACTCATGAAGTAAGTAGCATCTTTCTAGTTGCAACTAGCAACAACCACATTCACTAGGCTTGCAATAAACAGGTTTTTCCTGAAAGATGGTGGAACAATGTGTTCATCATACTCCATGGCATCTCTGAAGACAACAACAAAAAAATCATACAAAAACTCTACCCCACCCAAGTTTCGATTCCATCAGAAAAGCAATTAAACCTAGTTAAAAGGCTTTCTACAAAAAGGGGGAAATTTGTATCTGGTACACTTTTCCCAAAGTTTTTCCAATATCTCAATTCTGCTGGAGCCAGAACCATCCAACGAATATTTTACAGTTAAAAAAAAAAATTAGTTTCCCCTCTTCTAATATAAATAAACACAAAGTCAAAGAAAATGTTTCCTATGCAAAGATCCCTCTTGAGACTATATTAAGAAACAAAAAACGTAATGAGGTTGCACTTTAGACAATTCTAATAACTCACATGACTTTCAGAACTGAAGCAATGCAGTAACTTGCTGATTACAGATATAAGATGCCATACATAATTTTAAAAATCAATAAACTGACAACACAAGCAGAGTTATTAAAGTGATATGAATTATTTGCCTGGTTAAGACAACTTAACAAATCCGTAATGACTGTGTCTAAAGTAGGAGCAAATGGGCTCTAGGTCCTAAAATGTCTCTCTATCAATCAAGTTTTAGGATCATCTTTGTAACAGATTTTGTCTTTTTTTTTTTTTGCCTACTGCCTTCCTGGTTCTTAGCTAATGGAGGTGGGAGCATAACTGAGCCGAAGATAAGAGGGTATCAGAATATATACTACACAACTCTCCTTTACTTTCCCGTAAGGACAGAAGATCTAGGCACCCCTCCAAAGAAGTGCGCTATTCAAATATAATTATTGGCAGGCGTCCCAATATATTATTTGGTTTGGACATGAGAATTCCAGGATGAGTTCAGCAGGACAGGTAGGATTTTCTTCCCTTAATATAAGGGTCAAATCATGCCTTTAGTTACATGAATATGGACCTCGTTTCTTCATTTTGAAATTGGGAAGATAAAACCAAACCTCACAGGGTTGGGAAACCCTATATAGGAAGTGAGATAACATATGTGAAAGCACCTAGCTCAGTGCCTGCTATACAGTATGTACTAAAAACAAACAAATATTGACTTGAATATTATCTAAGTTTAATATTTTAAAGTTGACAAATAAAGATATTCTATTATTTTCTACTTTCAAAACTTCATCTATAATCAGCTTTTGATCATCATATATCAATTATTCACCGTAAAAATGCTCCTCTCATCTTACATGCTTCTAGGAGGCATTCCCCGCTCCCTCTCACCCGTATTATGTCTTTGTGAAGAGGCACTGTAGTGTGATTAAGAGCCACAGCATGTGAATAGTAATAATAACAATAATTTCTATCTCACAGGTTTGTTGAATGAATTAAATGAGTTAATACATGTAAAACACTTAGAATATCGTAGGCATGTTGTTATTATTAAATATACAGTAGTTTAGTTGTGTCTGAACACTGGATTTGAGGCCTGTTATCCGAATTTACATAATGAGTACTTTAAGCAAAAATAACTTAGAAACAAATTTTAATACAAAAAAATCCCAAAACATAATGCCTTGCCCTATCAATTATTTAGAGGATTATTCACATATTTGGAATCTTTGCTCCTGCTCCATAAACATAGATAAAAGGGAAGGGTAAGATTGGCCAAAAACACTAATTAAAGATGTTATGAATCTGAACTCACTGTATGTACCCAAACCTGCATTAAACAAATGTAAAAACTATTCTGATTCACTTCAAATTAAAATAAACATTGTGCAGTATTAATTACATTTCAGGTAAATTATTTCCTTTTAATATAACAATACCATGCCAGCCTTTGACTGAATACCAATATTATAACGTAGCCATGTAAGCTCTAGCCTGTAATTTCTGTGGTAAATTTCAAGATCTCTCTATAACACTCAACGAATTCTTTCTAATAGCAACTGAAATTGAATTACTAATAACTATAAAATTTCTTTCCTAAAATTAATAGTGCTTAAGGTAATAAATTTAAATAAGATAGCAGTGTTTAGAAAAAAGAGTGTGGATTGTGGCTGTAGGAGTTTAAATTTCATAGGAGCCTGCGTTAGGATCACAAGGAACTTAGGAATCACCTAGGTCACCCTCGACATTTCATGAAGAAACTGAGGCCCCCAAATGCTATGATAATGACAGGGCCAAGATCACAACCTAGGGCTCCTGGCACCCAGTCAAATAAATGTACCATCAAGTGTTTTCATATCAATTTAACCAAGTAATTCATATCAACTGAAAACGGTATTTTTTTTTGCCAAAAAATTCAAAAGAATAATCATGAGACACACACACACACACACACACACACACACACACACACACAGAACTGCATTCATTTAAGTAAGCACCACAGCAGTCAGTTTACTAACTTCTTATGATATTCTCAAAACTCCATGAGGAATTTCTTGTCATAAAGATTTTTTCAAATCACTTATTTTTATTGTGATTTGCAAATCACCCCAATGCTTGCTCTCAGCTCCCTCCCCACCCATGTCCTCCTCCCCTCTCCCCCACCCCAAACAGATTCTCCTAAAAAACAAAAAACGGTTGGGAAGTGAACAGAAATCAACAACTTACTTGCTAACCCTACCATATTTGATCCAGGCATATTGACTTATCCTTTTTCTACCCTCAGCATAACAGACAACAATTCTAAGGGAAGAGTTGGTTTCTAACAATATCTTTTAGTATCAATCTCAGTCTGTTGTATTATTATTTCATAAACCAACTTAATCTCTAAAAAACGATCTGATGGGAATGATTTCACATGTTAAACACATTCCATTAGCCCCATAAAAATATTAATAATGTGCATATACGTATCATTTATTCCTTTTCTGAAATTTTTACTTTTCCCAAAGCAAAACTTTATCAAAAGTCAGTAAACTGAGAATGGAAAATAAACCATGAGGTCACATAAGTTCATTCTGTCAGTGTATAGTAGCAAAATAAAAAAGAAAAGTATATTCAATTCTGAGCCAATCATAATCCAATTAAAGTGTATGGAATGCCATCTTAGATTTTTTAAATTAGCAACATATGAATAAGTCATAAAAGTTACCCCTGCGTTAAATTTCCCTTAAATTTATGTTCAAAGGAATATCAGAAGCAACTTTTTAAAAATAGACTTCACGGGATTGCCAATGTCTTAAACAGCCTTTTACGGGACCACTAAAGCACGATAATTACTCTCCTCAGTTTGAGTAAAAACCCTTTCTGAAAACAAAAGCCAACAGCTTTTTGTTACTTAGACAAAAAATTATTTTAAAAAATCTAAAACTAAATTTAACCAAATATTTTAAGATCCTAACCATTAAACCTGAATCCTTAGAGAAGGGATGTTTAATTCCCTGGAATGACGCAGGGTTCTCGTAGCAAACTTCCCCTCCCACTAAGCAAATTATTAATTAAAACAGATAATTCTGCTTGTGCTGACATCATATCTGGGGACACTGCAACTAATTGGTGATCTGTTTTAGCCCTTGCAGAAAGATCTCTAAAACAACCCTGTAGCTGTAGCACACGTGTATGTGTACACATGTATGTACACATATGTACAGATATATTTTTAATCCTTGTTTTTTTAACCTAGATTTGTACTCTTATCAGCTGTGTGCTCTTGGGCAAGTTATTATATCTTTCTGATACTCAATTTTCTCATCTGTAAAATGGGGATAATAATAGAACTTACCTTGTGATTGATTCAATATTAGCTTATTATCCCATATAAATTTCCCAAACATATATAAATGATCATAATCCCAAAGTATACAAATTTAGTGGGGCATCTGATGTTCAATTAACTATGAAATTCCCTTTATCTCGTATCTATCATCTAGACTGGCTGCTCATTAATTCAACAACATCAAATAACGTGACTCTTGGAGAATATGGATCACTGGTGGCAAGAAAGACAAGTGATCTTTGCCTGAATCTATTTTTAGGAATGGTTTCATTATCTGTACCCCTAGTGTTAACACTGGAAAATAAACAAATGGGTGAAAGGCATCATAAAAGAGTCACTCTGAGATCAACACTTTCATAGTATTCAAAAATAAATGGGAATGAAGAAAACAGGTAGACCATTTCTCTAAGGATTGACCATGTCAATCCTTACTGACATAAGGCAGACCAGAATTTGCAGAGGTCTAAAAAGGAATTGCTGAATTGATGAATTCAGACTGTTCAGGCTGCATGGTTCGGAGAGGTTCCAGGTTTAAAATGTAACCAGTGAGAAAACTATAATTCAATAGTTGGTTTTCAGTGAATCACTACCTTACAGTGGAGAAAGAAATCAATTTTTTTGGTTATACAGTTACTGCATATGGAGAGAAAATGCTCATCAGTTTCCACAATGAAATATATTTATATCCATATATTATTTATTCTCACCTAAATAAGGAGGGAAAAACCAACCCTGATTCTCTTGTCAGGCTAGAAAGGTACTACAGTTAATAATTATGACATCACTAGCTACCTGGTATTCATAATTATGCCAATTCATATGATTATCTTTGGGAAGATTACAATTAGAAATTTACCAAAGAAATAGCTGAATATTTTGCTCCAAATTACACTCCTCTCCTGCCAAAATAATATCTAGTAATTAACTCATTTTCTAAGAAGAGCTCTGATATGAATGTGGACAATTCAAACTTTTAGTTAAATAGATATTACACCAACCCATTTCCTTATTCATCTTAATCTATTAATGGAACATAATCTTACCGGAAAAGGAAAAATGTTGTCAGCCCTGTTCAAACTATCTTCCATCCAGGATTTAGGAGCAAAGGCAGAGCTGGGGCGAGCATACTTCTGGAGCTGAATATGATTGCTTGCAAAATTTTTCTTCAAAGGCGAGATGGAGTTCAGGGGCGTTATGCCTCCATTCAGCCCTCTGCGGTGATCTCTGCCTTGGGAACCTCCCCAGCCACCATATCCGCCTCCTCCCGGGCTCCAGGAAGAAGATGGTGTAGGAGAGGGACTCTGGTAGCTGCTCCATGGAGAGGGGGGTTTGTTAAGATTATTCGCCAAATGAGGCAGCTGGTTAAAAGCAGCATTTCTATGTGTGAAAGGTGGGGGATGGGGACTGGCAGGAGACCTCCTTTGCTGCTGATGCTGGCTGTGATGATGCTGGAAATGAGGGTGATGAGGGTGGTGCTGGGAAAGAGGCCCGATCTGAGGGGAGAAGCTGCCTCCGAAGCCAGGGCTGACATGATGGGGAAAATTTTGAAACAACAGAGCACCGTTATTAGCCGAAGCAGCCGGGACCCCTCCCTGGTGAAAGAAACTCGCATCTTCATTGATGATTGTAGAGGAAGAAGGCGCTATTGCTGCTGACCAGTTACTGAAACCAGTAAGAGACGATGCACTGGACGTCAAGGGTTGGGTCGAAGTACCTAGCCCCGCGGCTTCTTGATAATCAAACCCTGTCAACACTGGTGATTCGATTCGTATTTTCTCCTTCCCATTGCCATTTTCTGAAGAATTGTCCCCTTGATTTTCTTCCGATTTCGCCTTCTCCGTTTCAGGCAGTATTCCAGCTTCCTGACCTGGACTGGGGGAGAGCTGCTGCTTTTCTAAAGGGTCTTGCTGCTCCTGCTGCTGACTTTTTGCCTTTTCGGACCCCAAGATCTCATCCTGAATGTTATGGGTGGCCGGAGCAGGAAAGAGCCAAGCCGACCCGGCACTGCTGCCATTGGCAGCTGTGTTATTATTTATAAAAGCAGCAGGACTGGGGGTGGCATTTTGGTGATGGTGTGGAGGCTGCAGATGCGGATGGAATCTGACTGGAAAAGCAGATTTATTCCCAGTATTGCTTTGCACTAGCACTCCAAACCCGTAATCCCCCATTTATTATTTTTAGGATCACAATCTTACAATAAAAAAGGACAATCTAATGTCTCACGCCTTTGTATCCTCTACCCCAAATTTAAGTTGTCTGTTTGAAATGTTGTATTTATAGCTAGCTCGAAGATCGCAGCTTATCACCTTAAATAGTCTTGATTTGGAATTCTGGTCTCTGAAAGAAAAAAAAAAAAACTAAAAAAAAAAAAAATCTCTTAAAACACTGACATGAATCCAACTGGGCTTATTTCTAGGAGGGAATAAAAACGAAGAGGGCAAAAATCAAGTCTTTGGTTAGTAAAATAGGCGCTTTCTTTTTCCAAAGGAAAATGTACATGAATGACAAAAACACAGCTTCTCAAGCATCTATGGATGTAGAAGAATAAGCATTGCGCGGAGTAAAAATATATAAATATAATTTAACAATCACATACGGTCTTCCTCAGCAGTTTAGATTCACTCGCATAAAAATCAGAATAGGGCTAAAGGGGAGACTATGTTCTTTTCTTGGCAGCTCGGTTAAAAAAAATCAGGAATAATTTAAGAACATTATATATTATATATTTTTATATATAGATTATATTAGGCTCTCTGGGGCGGGAGGGGCAATCAGCACGGACTACTGGAAAGATGACTGCGGGGAGGTTTCTGCCGTTTCTGGTCCTCTGTCTGCTCTTTCTCGGGGCGCAGTTCGGGCCTCCGGGGCTCCGGGCGCAGATCTTGCTGCGGTCGCTGTGCCTGGACTCCCCCCTGCTTCCTCTCCCCCATGAAATGGGTGGGAAACACCCGTGTCTCCCTCTTGGGGGTCGCGATCGGCAGGGATTAGCGAGACTCGCCCGGGGCGAGCGGGCGGCCCGGGGGTGCGGGGACCTCGGCGGCGACCTGGACGGTCCTGCGGGTTCGGCCTCTTCCCCTGTCTGCGGCTCCGGGGTTTTTTCCCCTCATGGGACCCAGGGGCGGATCGTTCAGTCCTCTCAGTTCGATTCTCCGCAGGGGGGAAAAGAGGAAAACAAGGAAAAGCCCACTCGTGTACTTACTCTAAAGGAGAAGAGCCTACCCCCTGTGCGCGCTCTCTCTTTTTTCCCCCAGATTTTTTAAAAACTATGATTTAGAAGGCTTTTGTCTCTCCTCACGGTTGCTGGGCCGCTGCCGCCGCCGCCGCCGCCGCCGCTTTAGCCCGGTCCCGCAGTCCCCGCGGTCGTGGCGGCGGACTCCGCCCGGCTCTTCTTCTTCTCTCCTTCTTCCTCTTCGTCCTCCTCTGCTGTCGCCGCTGCCGCCGCCGCCGCCACCGCCTCCCGGTGCCCGGGTCCTGCAGCCGCGGCTGAGTCCCTCTCCTCAGGACCGAGCCGAGTGAAATGACAACCAGCTGGAAAGACCAAGAGACACTTCCGGTTCGAGGAGGGAGGGGTGGGGCGCCGCCGACGCCCCGCCCACCTGCCGGAAGGCCATTCCGCAGTTAGAATTTAGAGGAGGCCACGCCCCACGGCTCGGGGCCCCGCCCAGGAAGGTCGGAAAGTTACCTCGAGAGACTGCCTTTCCGTCTGCACCGGGCCTCCCTCCCGACTGAGCGCCGCGGGTCGCCATCTTTAGTATGGGCAAAGGCCTGGTGCGCTGTTTATCTTCTCTAACCACGCTTTGCAGGAGGAGCATATAGAGATACGCGGAAGAGAACAGATGCCTCGAGCACCACGGAGAAGAGTCCAGCTGTTGGGGATCGGAGTGACGACTCGTGAAACCGCGGATGAACGGGAGGACTGCCCATAGTAAAGGTGGGTCCCCAGGCGTCACGTGCTTCGCCCGAGCTCCGCCCCAGAGGGATCTGGAAGGGGAGGTGCGTCGTCCCAGCAGATGTGCCGTGCCAGAACTGCGTATGTCCTTGTCCCGAATGTAGCCTTAACGCGGGCCTCTACCTTCAGCTTTCATTCCCCCACCTCTATCCGGCCGACTGGGCCTAGGCTGCCGTCTGGTGCAGTCTCTCAGGCACAAAGATACGTCTGCCTTAGGCGTCCGTGGCTGAGCTCTCGTCTCCGTCCGCTGTGCCAGATGGACATTTCCAAAACGAAAATTCTATCGTGGTCTTCACCTGCTCAGATCTCTTCTGTGGGTGCCCTTACCCTGATGAAAAAAAGCCAAACTCTTTTGGTCTGGTATTCAAGGACTTTCCACTCTCTGAGCACCGTATCTTCACACCTCATGTCCTTACAAACGCCTCCCACCAAGCTGCTCCAGTCACTCCCAGTGCATTTTTACCATCCCTTTCCTCTCTTCTCCACTTGGTAAACTAGTTTTAGGAATCAGTTCAAAAGCTACCAACCCTGTCTTATGACTTCTCTCTTAGGAGCGTCCGTGGTCCTATGTACATCTCATGCTTGTTTATCACACTCTGTTGTAGTGGTCGCTTATGTCTCCCGGACCTGTGCTCAACTGTGGGCTCTTTGGAGGAGAGGACTTTGTAGATAGGAGGCATCAGTGAATGAATGCTGAAGAAACAAATGAACAAACCAACTACAATGAAGTCTTTTCCTGAATGACAGTCACCTTTCCAAATCTGAATTATTTCATTCCTTATGCCCTTTGGCTTGGAGCTCACACCTCTCAAACTTTCATCATTTAGGTTATTCGTTTGCTGCTCCAGGGCTCCATGTCTTGTTCATCTTTGTACGTTCCCACCACTGTGACCACTATCAAGGCCTAGGGCAACGCCTTGCTCTCAGCACAAGCTCTAAAGATGTTGAATAAGTGAATGTTTTCCTTTAGTAGGGAATGAAAAATGAAAAGAAATCAGAGTAGAGCCAGAAGTGACTCTGGCAAGAGTAGGAAAAAAAGAGAGATCAAAGACTTTTAAGAAGAATCTTATGAACAAAAGTAGCTTCCATTTCATTTCTATAGCCTTTGCCCAATGGCCCCAACTTCTGCTGCTTCACTTCCTCAGTCCTCCAACATTTCCACGTAGAACACCTGTTTGGGGCCTTAATCAGTGATTTTATTCTCTTGCGTTGTATCACGAGCATGAGTCTTGTCTCTGCAACTCTCCTTGGAGTTCCTTGAGGGTAGGGATTGGGTCTTGCTCTGTTGTTTATTCCCCACCCTGGACATACCTTGAGACTTAGCTGGTTCACTTAGGTGTCATTTCCTCCAGAATGGTTTCCCTGACTGCCCCTCTCTCTAGCACATTGTAGATTCCTCTCTTTTAATTACTGCTGGTTGTCAGAAGGTTAGTTCCTTGAGGGCAGAGGTTGTGTCTCATTTATCTTTGTGTCCCCAGTGGCCAGCAGAGAGTCTGGCACAGAGCAGAATCAGGACATATTTATGGAATGGATGAATGAGTGTTCAGTGCCCAGTAGATGGTTGAGAGTCTCTTGCAACTACCAATTCTCAGTGGCTAAAATGGCAGCCATGACTTGGAGGAAAGAACTTCCACTATCTTTGGAACCAAGCAGTGTACTTTGAATCTCACCTCTGCTACTTCTTAGTTGTGCAGCCCTGGGCGTCACCTCTACAAGCCCCTGGCTCCTCATAGATAAAATGTGAATGATGTTTCCTCCCTTGCTAGGTTGGTAAATTACATGAGATACATGTGAAGTGCTCTGCTCATGGGAGGTTTTCAAAAATGTCAGTTCCTTATTAACACGGTAAGTGCGGAGAGCTACTTCACAAGTGTCTTTTGCTTAGAAGCAGCTGCGTGCATGAGTGAATTCAGGAACCTCTGTTGGTTTGTAGAGGGAGGAGGCACGCCCGAGCCAAAGTTAGGGGCTGCTAAGTCAGCCTGATTTTTTAAGGCTAAATCAAGTGTGGGCAGTAGGTTTGGGCTGGCCTGCAGCTCAGATGATCACTGTAGACATCAGGCTTCTGGTTAGGGACTAGGAGCATGGGAGAAGGAAGGGGGAAGCAATTGTCTTGAATCAGTTGCCTACTCAGAAACCCAGGATACCCAGCTCAGGGCGGCCCTCGAAAACATTCTGGCCTCAGAATCTGTCCCAGGTAACCATGACAACAATTCAGCAGCTCCATTTAGGATCTCCAAAGGGATCTACAGTTGCAGATGAGTACTGGCTTGAACACTCTGCTGGCATCAGAGAGCCCCTCCCAGGAAGCATGCTCACCAGGAAGCTTTCAGGTTGCAGAGAAAGCAAGCTCTGCCCAAACATTAAGGTGCTACCAGATTAAACAAACAAACAAACAAACAAACAAATTCCCCCCTGTCCACTGAAGGCTGACACACCTTCAGAGAAGTTGTAGGCTAGTGAATGCTTGTACCCTGCTGGCTACTGCCCAGCCCCCTCTGGGGTTTGAGGTCAACCACACCCCAAACCCGGAGCCTCCCAGGAAGCAGGGCCCTAATATCTCCTTCACCCACCTCTTTTAAAGCTTGGCAGGCAATATAAATCTCACCCCCTAATCACACAGAGTGAACTCTGCCCCACTCCAGCTCTAATGTCCTCCACCACTGCCCTTGAAGCATACATTGTCAGCCTTCTCGAAACAGTACACACTCAAGCTCCCCAGGGGCCTGTTTGATGACTTGAGCAATCAGGGCCACCACCCAAGGCCGCCCAGGTTGTGCACTATGCAACTCCATAAGGCACCACAGACTGTTCTGTGAATGCCACCTCTTGGAGTGGTACAGTGTAGCCACCCTGCTTTTGTTCATTTCCATAAGACACAGAGGCACATTATGGAAATATGACACCCATACAAAAAAGCCACCAGATACGACCATAAATTACATGAGCACATGCTCATTGCATGTGGAATATTTAAAGCAGCTGATCCTTTTAGGGTTGGTGGCCCAAGAGCTTTCTGTAATGAAATTGAAGGACACAGTGTCCTTGGCATTGTTTTGGGTAGTAAGCTGTAGTGAGAAGACAAGTCCAGGCAGGTATATGGTCCAGTCCCCTAAGAGATTAATACCCAGCAATTACTTTGCCTAGCAGCATTAATAAGCATTCTAATGTAGTGGTAGAATACATATTTTACTGAAACTAAAAAATATAATAATAATATTCAAAGGCAGGTCCTGTGAAGGCAGGGGAAGAGAGAAGAGTGGAATTACTTGCGGAATATCCTCTTTTCCAAGAGTCTCTGGAAGCTCACTACCAGAAGATGAGCTGGACAGAAGCAAAACCAAGCCCCCAAGCAGGTTTTGTTAAACCCCGCCTCTGATCTTCACCCGGTTTCAATATTGGAAAGTGTGTGTGTTTACTTAGAAAGCATCATTGTTTTTTTTTTACAGTTAATTGCTGGGTTACATTTTCTCCTCTTGTTTGTTGTTTCATAACCTGTGCAAGCCCTCTGCATTTTAAACACTGTTTCCCTCCTGCTTTCTCATTTAAGGTATTATCATTAACAGAGTCCATAGTTAACAGGCCGTTTTGGTGGGGAGTGCTGAAGGCAGTTCCTCCAATGCATTGTTACTGAATAAATGGTTTGGAAAGGTCCAGGACACAGACATGCTTCACTTGAAATTGCTGTATCCTGGCAGAGATTTAGGTGAGCTGGAACAGGGGGTTGACCTTCCAGACTGTGACGTGCATCACATGGGATGACTTGGATTCTTTTGTGGCTCCAGCCACCTATGTGGACAGGCTGCTGACCTAGATTACCCCTTGCTATTTAGATTGGACACACTTCACTTCCCAGTATGAAAGCCGTGGCCATGCTGCCGAACAGCTGCCATCTCACACCCTGTGGCTAGGCTGGAGGATTTCACCTGCAATGCTGGAAAAAGAATAGCTTTTCAGAGCTTGCAGGGAACTGCAGGGCCCAGAGGTCAGCGAGCTGGGAGTCAGACAGCAAAATTCTAACCCCAACGTAGCAACAAACTCACAGGCACTGGTCCAGTTTGTCTGATGATTTCCTTTCAGCCAGAATTTGTACTACCGAGAGTTTCACTTCAGAACCCTCAAGCAATAAAGGTTCAAAGAAAGTCATTTATATGAAAAAAAAAGATGGTTCTTTCCTTTTATGTCCAAATTTCTTGCTCCCCTAGTCTTAGAATGTATATATGTTACTAAAGAACAATTATTGGAGTTGATTTGTAAGCATCCAACCTCAGACTTTAGTGTGCATCAGTCCCCATGGAACCCCTCAAATGCAGATTCCAAGGCCCTGCCCCCGAGATATTCTGATTAAGTTTTCTCACGGTATCTTCTCACAAAGTTAGAAGGTACAAGAGATTTTTTCATAATAAAGTAAGAGCACAGAAAAACCAAAATAAGAATAGCTAAAACAAAAAAGTTCTTTTCTCACATAAAAGAAGTTTGGGAGAGTAAGTACGGGGCTGGTGGAATGGTTCCAGGAAGTTATCAGAAACCAGTTTCCTTCTCTCATTGTTCTTCCCTCCTCAGGATGTAACTTCTGCCTTTTGATCCAA